TGTTTAATACAGCTAGACACTTCTGGAAGATGATTGATGATAGAAATGTGACTGCTATTGTAATGCTATGCCAGGAAAATGAAAACAATCAAGTAACATTATTAATGAAGAAATTGAGTTTTATTATTTTATTATAGGAAGTTTGCTATCAATACTGGCCTTCAGCATCAAATGCACTAGTAACAGGAGAATACAATATCACACTACTGAATGAAAACACAAACAATAGATATATTGAAAGGAAATTTGAAGTTAAGAATAACAATGTAAGATAGCATACATGCAAGTATAGTTTCATTTGATTTGTTTAGACTGGTGCTAAGCAAAGTGTGACACAGTTTCAGATAACAAACTGGGATTCAACTGGAGAAGTGAAGAATCCTCAGACTATTTTAATGATAATAGAAGAAATGTACAGAACACAAAGGAAAAGAGGAAACACAAGCATTGTAGTACACTGCAGGTGAGAAAGAAATCTGATTAAATATTAATTTTAATTTCCTTCTTTATAGTGATACAGTTGGTCGTTCAGCAATGTTTTGTGCAGCTGCTACAACAATTAATAAATGTAAAACTGAAGGAGTCATTGATGTATTTCAAGTACTCAAAAGTCAACGTATTCAAAAACCAGGCAGTGTACAGACTGTTGTAAGTATAATGATTTATGTATCATTTTATTTTTCTACCTTAATTAAATAGTTTTAAAATTTTGTTTTTGTATGGTTTTTTGTACAGTGTTTTCTAGTGAGATAAATACTGTTCTATTTTTAGCAACAATATCAAGGGATATTTCAGATTGTACTGACATATTTGGATTCATTTGAGACGTATTCAAATTTTACTAAGTAGAAGTACTTTTTGTGTGTTCTTATGTACTGTCATTATGCTTTTACAATGAACTGGTTTTAAAATGTTTTTGTAATTACAGTTTAGTGTGTTTTTATTAAAATTATACATACACTTCCCTAATTGTGCTATTATGTTTTTTGTAAAAGTGTATACACAAAAACAACTTGACCACAGCAAGCCAGTAGCTACAAGATGAGCAGCTTGATATCGAATTATATCTATTTTGTTTCTATTGTGTGGTGTCTACTGTCACAAGCTCAAGGACAAGTCCCAATAATTTCTACCTTTTTTAGCAATGGTAAGATTGAATAGAATACTTTTAGTAGATGTTATATAACCTATGCAGGTGTTCAACTGTATCTACCTTATGAGGACAGGATAATACCTGATTACTCTATGATATATGCTAGCCAGTTTTATGATGTTAGACAGAATAATGATGGTACCAATGATGCTTTGTGGTGTCAGAGTGCTAACAATGGTACTAACATTGGAGTGTGGTATTATCCTAATGGAACTGAAGTACCTTTATTTGATGGACCCTTTGATGATCCATTAGCTCCTAGTCCAGTGTTCAGTAAGAGATTCAGTCATCAGATTGCACTAGCTAGAAGAGATGGACTATCAGGATATGAAGGTTTATACAAGTGTATCATTCCTGATGAGAATGGAGTGAATCAAACACTAGTGGTTGGAGCATATACTGATACTGGATACAATAACAGTAGTATGTGATAAATATAGACTATAATTAATGTACTTCTTTTACAGATGGTCCTGATGCTGATCCTACTATGCAGTTCTCTCTTCTCTCCACTAGTAGATTAGCTACTCCTCCAGTCTTCAGTCTCAGTTTCAATGTCTCTGATGGTCCTCCTACTACTGTCAG